GCGCCATTTTTAAAGGCCGGCTAGTTCGACCCCCATGCCGCGCGGCTACACGCGGCACGGAGTAGCTAGTTCGGATTAGGCTTCCTACGAGGAGTACAGCTAGTTCGGATTAGGAAACCTAATCCGAACTAGCTACTTCGTGCCGCGTGTAGCCGTGCGGCACGGGGTTCGAACTAGCCGGCATTTAAAAATGGCGCCGGCCAGCTTCATGCAAATGAAGCCCGGGAAATTCAAATCCCGGGCTTCATTTGCAACTGCGGATGACTACATTACCCCCGCTAGTTCGAACTAGCAGGGTAGTGTAGACATACCCTAAGGGCCTAAGGGTGGGAGAATGCGCAAAGTTTTCCCCCACCCTGTGAGAAGCACACAACACTTAGAAGCCCCACATGCTCCTGGCAGGGTGAGAAGAGGCTTTGCATGCTCCCCAGGCCCACATTTTTTAAGTGGCCCCCAGCAAAAAATTATTGCCCACCCCTGCCTTATGTGATCCCCTCTGGGGGTCGGAATCTGCTGGTTGAAAAGCACTGTTCTGTAGTAATGCAAACTGGACTTCCCTGGCTTCTCATTCCCTCTTAGGTTTGTCATCAAAGGAAGCCTGGCAGGAGCTGCTGTGTACGTGGCATTTGATCAGGGGCTGCTGGGGAATGGCAATCGAGGGGCAGATGCCCTCAAAAAGGCTCGCTCAGCAGTGCCTCCAGCTGTACAGGAATGGGCAAATTACATAGGTTGGGAGGTAAGGGCTATGCGAATAAACCTGGTTAGCAAATTCTCATGCTGATGAGGGTGGAAGGGAAAGTGGGGGGATAAAATCCTGGCTCTATTGTTGTCAATGGATGTTAGGTCATTTTCAGTGGAGCCAGACTTATTTTTATTTATTTTAATACAAGGGAATTGAAGGAGAATAGATTTTTAAACTTATTGAGAACTTGCAAAGGACAAGAGGAAAGAAAATGAAAATTTGATCTGGGAGGGATTTTTATAACTGATATGCCTCAGCCATCTTTCATTTGAGGATCTCTAAGCACTTTATAAACATCAATGCATTGATCCTCCCTCTTAAAGATCCATTTCTGCCATTTTGCTTAATATTAATCAAGTTGTATATAAATTAGGGATATAAGTTTAAAAAGTTAACTGATAAGCTGATGCTTATTGGTTCCTCCTACCATTTAAACTGTGATACGGAGCCTGTGGCACCAGCACTGCCTGTGGTGGTCAATACCGCGGAACCTACAGGGTCAGCAGCAGCTGGGATCCCACAGCCTGGACTCTGGGGGCCAGCAGGGGCTGGGAGCCTGGACCTGGCTGTGGCCAGGAGCCCAGAGCGAGCAGTAGGGATGTTAAATTTAGATTTACTGGGTAACTGAATAGTTGATGCAATTTGCATCGACCATTCAATTAGTCAATAAGGGCACCTCTGCCTTTGAACTGCCACTTCAAAGGTGAAAGCACTGCAGGAAGCATGGGACCATGGTGGACTCAAGCAATCCCCTGCTGGCCCCGAGTTCCCGCCCCACAACGTTTCTCCCCAATCCTTGATTTAGGAAAGAAGAATATGTATCATTTTGTAAGTCACCTTAGTGGCTTAAGTGCCTAAGCTACTTTTGTAAATGTTACCCTTTGGCTCAGTTTGACAGCTGAGTCAGAGCTTAAGTGATTTGCCCAAGATGGTCCAGGGAGTTTATGGTAGCTTGTGGTTGGCATTATCCCTCTTTAGCAGTTGTGTAGCTAGCTAGCGTGCACAAACACTTCTGAATTTTCTCTACATTTTCTCTCTCTCTTTTCCCCAAGGTTCCATCCACTCCAAAATTTGACTTTTCTGTGTCTGAAACCTGGAACACAGGTAAGATTTGACCCTTTACTGTTTAAGCTACTTTCAGTCAAAAAATGTATCCCAGAGTGCTGGTCCATTAGATTGAAGGATAAAAGGAGGAGAGGCAGCATGGCTTAGCGAACAGAGCACTGGATTGGAATTTGGGACATCTGGGTTCTAATTCTTGGCTTTGCCACTGGCCTATTGGGTAACCATGGCCTACCTGTCTGTGCTTCAGTTTCTGCATCTGTGAAGTAGGGATCATGAAGCTGATTTCCTTTGTATAGCACTTTGAGAGCTATTGATGAAAAATGCCATGTAAGAGCTAGGGACTTTTATTTTTACATATGCAGGAGCTAATTTAAGACAGCAAAACTGAGTAGTCATGGAGGTAGCAGTATAAAGAGATACTATGATGAATTTTACTCCTGAAAAGTCCTGTCTCTGATTAAGGATTGAAGAGTTTATAAACACAACTGGCATGTTGTATAAGGATATTTAGTACTGTTGATCTCAACTTTTGCCCTGCTATACTAGTGTGAAAAGGAAAGATGTTTCCCTTTAATCCTGTACCACCTTAAGATAATATTTTACTCTTCTCTAGCAATTTTATCTGAGCTTTTCAAAACATCTGTAGATACTTAGCAAATGATAATATAGCTAAATTTCCTTATTTTACAAATGGGAAAACTCCAGTCCACCGGTGACTTGCCCAAGGTTTCATAAAGGTAGTCTGTGGGAAGAGCAAAAATAAAACCTAGATCTCCCCAATATTGATGCTGTGTTTTAACCACAAAACCATCCTTTAGAGTTGGTGGTGTGGGACAGATTTCCCCATCTCAGTGTCCACTGATGACAGATGAGACAGTAAAACCTCAATAGAGTCAAGAATTATTCATGTTTTGGTTTGTCAAAAAGCTTCCTTCATAAGCATAGATCTCACCTGGTGAGATCTGTGTGTTCCGTCATGAAGAACAGCTTTGTAATGCTCTTTTCAGAACATCTCTCCACTATTTTTCTTACAGGAGTTCAGGCCACTATGTCTGCTCTATCTGTGGCTCCCAGGAAGATCCAGGAATACACCCAGGATGGCTGGAAGTACATGAAGGGCCTCATCAAGTGAACGTTCTCTCAGACGCTAGCTGTTACCTTGATGCTACTGTGTCTGGGATGAGATGTAGTAAACACCACTAGAGGGCAGCTCATCCATCATGCAAAGGCTCCAATAAAAGACTCTGGCACGTCCTTTTGCATCTGGATTGGTGTTAGCATGCAAGATCTGCAATTATTGTTCTTTTTATTACAGTAACACCTAGAGGCCACACAGGAGATCAGAGCCCTGTTATGTTGATGCTGTACACAAACATACACTCTGCCCTAAAGAGCTTACAGTCTAAATAGACCATCAGAAAACTTCATCCACTAGAAAGTATGCCAACTATTTCAGTTCTATGTCACTAAAAATAAAAACCCCAGACAATTAACCAGCCACATACATTATAAAAAGATCTGTCCCAAGAACAAGTTCTGCACATTGCTGTAGAACTCTTTTCAGTGGGGGAGGAAGGGGGCTTTTACCTTTTACTGCCCTAAGCTTGTTAAACTATTAGACTAAGGTGTGGATTTTTTGGACACATTATTTTGGGCTGTGTCACTCCAATACTGAATCTTTTTGATCTTGCAGCATGGATCATCTGTGTGATCTATCATGAATAAAAGTGGCAAAATCAGCTTTGCAATGCTCTTCTCAGGACACCTCTCCACTACTTTTGTTACATTGAATCTATTGATCATAATGGTTTCTTATAGCCTCACAATAGAGTTCAGTAGATTTACTCCTGGGCTGTGTCTACACTGGGCCACTTATTCCGGAAAAGCAGCTGCTTTTCCGGAATAAGCTGCGAGCTGTCTACACTGGCCCCTTGAATTTCCGGAAAAGCAGTGACGATCTATTGTAAGAAATCAGCTGCTTTTCCGGAAAGACTATGCTGCTCCCGCTCGGGCAAAAGCCTTTTTTTCCGGAAAACTGTTCCGGAAGAGGGCCAGTGTAGACAGCACAGTAGTGTTTTCCACAAAAAAGCCCCGATCGCAAAAATGACGATCAGGGCTTTTTTCTGGAAAAGCACGTCTACATTGGCCACGGACGCTTTTCCGGAAAAAGGGCTTTTCCGGAAAAGTATCCTGCCAATGTAGACGCTCTTTTTCCAGAAATACTTATAACGGAAACCTGTTCTGTTTTAAGCATTTCCGGAAAAGGGTGTCAGTGTAGACGTAGCCCTGGGCTTTCTCTACTCTGCAGGGTTTTTGCACAAGAAGCTTTTTGCAGAAGAGATCTTGAGCAAAAGTGCATCAACACCTCAAAAGTGCATCGCAAAAGCGATGTGCTTTTGCGCAAGAGTGTCCAGACTGCATGGACACTCTTGCACAAGAAAACTCTGATTGCCATTGACAATGACCCTACGGCACGTCCACACATGCCTTTTTGCGCAAGAGCTGTAGCGCAAAAAGGAGTTATTTTTTGTGGGGGGAGGAATAACTCTCCCAGAAAAAGGTCTCTATCCTGTCGATTTATTGTATTTTGGGGGGAGGGCTCAAAAAAGCACTTGTGAGGTGTGGAAGTTCAGCCGTTTTTTGCACAAAAACCTTGTAGTGTAGACATAGCTCTGTAGTATGGCTGGTGTCCCCTTGGGATTTTCAGTGTGCTGATCATGCTACTGATGCCTGCCTTCTTGCTCTCTCGGGCTCCCCACCACCCTGTCCTGCTGAGCCAGATCCTCTGTTCTCCCCCAGGCAGGGCACAAACTTAGGGTGGCCACCTCCCTGCAGAGCAATGCAGTTCCTGAACTATTTCCACTCTGGGAGGATGCAGTTCTGTGGGCTCAGCACTCAGGAAACTGAAAACCTCCAAATCTGTCTTTCTCTGTGTAAAACTTTTATATGGGAAAAGATCATAAGGTAAGCTCCCTTTATCACTGAAAGAGATATGCACAGTCCTCTCTCCTGTAACAATTATTTACACTGGGCCTGATGGTAAACAAGTGTCTTTATTAAATACAGAAAAGTAGGATTTAAGTGGTTGTAAGTGAAAACAGATCAAAGTAAGTTACTAAATTAAAATGAATAGAAAACTCATAGCTAATTCTTATTCAGTAAGAAACTTGTTACATACACATTCTGATCCTAAACAGCAATTTTTATTTGATATTGGCTTCAAATCAGAGTCAAAATCTTTTACTCTGACTGGCCTCCAGCTCTACAAAGTTCTTTGTATCCTCTTAGGGAGTGCCAGGCAGTTTCAAAAGCCAGCTGAAGACAGGCTAATAGATTCTCACTCGGGAGAGTCTTTTGTATGGCACCCCCTTCCCATGGAAAAACTTGGATGTTATCTTGAGCTGTTACCTCTATACTACTGTCTCTGGGATGAGATGTAATACACACCACTAGAAGGCAGCTCAACCATGCAAAGGCTCCAATAAAAGACTCAATTCCCTTTGCATCTCGGTTTGTGTTACCATACAGGCTCTGCAATTATTGTTCATTTTATTACAGTAGCACCTAATGGCTACTGTAAGAGCCTCTGGGTTCCAGTATCAGGTGGTATGGTGACATGTCTTTCTAGATCAACATGTCTGGACTTACAGGACAAACAAGGCTGTTTACAAGTTGAGTTGATCACCAAGCCATTTGGCTTTTGGGGTACCAACAACGGCTCTCACTAGCACATTTAAAACTATAAACAGATTATCACTTCATATTTCTAACTTCACATACAAGAGTGATACATGCACAAAAATATATAGAGCAGATTAACGTGAAAAGTGATAGATGAGGTATTGTCTGAAGCATCTTCAAAATATGCATATTTATGTTTATAAGCCAATTTTCATAAAGCTTAGGGAACTGTCACAATATAGTTAATGTGAAATTCTTTATCTGAAAATGTGATACACAAAATGATTTATTTGCCCCAGTAAAAGCAGCAGCAAATGTTTCACATCTTTTGTCTGTTGCTTCTAATACCTGATCTGTAAATGCTTTACATTGTCCATTGCTTTCTAATAACGGATCTATAAATGCATTAGCTCTCCCCATATCTTTGAAGCAGGCAGAAAGAAGAATCACAGACAGGTGAAGGGACTTGGCAAAGGTACCTCAGCAAGTCAGTGACAGAACAAGAAATATCTTTATGCATAAAGCACCTCGTTCCAGTAGCTAGAAGTAGATCTAGGAGTCCTGACTGGGGCTACTGAATTTTCAGCAGCAGCTGCTGGATGTTCATATTTTTCAACCATGCTCATCACTTCTTTTAGATGCCTAAATGGGAGCTGAGTTCTTTGGGAAAAGCTGCTCAAATGTGATGCTCATGTTCTGGATGGTGATTCCCCTTTAAGAGCAAATCTGGTTCAGGATGACATGCTTTTGCTATATTATGGTCTCATATTCCTGGTGGATCATTTCAAGGTAGTGCTCCTCATGCTCCCAGTATATTGTTTGCCTGTTCTCAGGTTGCTCACTGACCGTGTACTTCAAATTTTTCTCTTCTAGATAAAAGTGCAAAACCTGTCACTGATGATTCTTGTAGAGCAGCTTGCCTATTGTTAGGTAACCAAGGGGTAATACCATTGATGAATTAACAGCTACAATTCCCCCTGTTGACACATGGCCTATGGCCAAAAGCAAGGAGTGGTGAAAATTTGGATTTATATCTACATTCTGAATCCTGCTAATAAGATATTAGGAGCAAGGTTCAGTTTTTAGAATGGGGAGAGGTGTCCCACAGAGGTCTGCACTTGGACCAATTCTATTCAACGTATTCATAAATGATCTGGAGAAAGGGATAAACAGTGAGGTGACAATTTGCAGATGATCTAAAACTGCTCAAGATAGTTCAGTCCAGATTGGATTTAAGAGCTTCCACAGGATCTCACAAAACTAGGTGATTGGGCAACAAAATGGCAGATGAATTTTTAATGTTGATAAATGCAAAGTAATTTCAACTATATGTACAAAATGACAGACTAGATTAGCTGTTACAACTCAAGAGAGATCTTGGAGTCATTGTGGATAGTTCTCTGAAAACATCCACTTAATGTGCAGCAGCAGTCAAAAAGCAAATAATGTTAAGAATTTTTAAGAAAGGGACAGAATAAGACAGACCTCATCTTATTGCCTCTATATAAATCCATGGTTTGCCCACATCTTGAATACTACATGCAGATTAGGGATATTAGTGACTAGTTGACTATCTGATAAGCATTTGCTTATTGGATAGTTGAGTAGCCTTTATCAGAGAGAGGCAGCAGGGGAGGGGAGAAGCGCAATATCCATGGGGAAGCAGGGAAGGCAGAGGTATAGTGGGGAAACAGCTGCTGACGCTTCTGCTTTTGAAATATACAAGAACTCGCCAGGCTCAAATTGTATCAACTATACGATTACCCAGATAATTGCATTTTAACATCTGTAATGCAGATATGGTCACCTTATCCCAAAAAAGGTGTCTTGGCACTGGAAAAAGTTCAGGAAATAGCAACAAAAATGATTAAGGGAATGTAACAGCTGCCATGGCAGCAGAAATTAAGAAGACCTGGGACTTTTAAGCTTAGATTAGCTGAATAAAGGTGTATATGATAGAGGTCAAAAATCATAACTAGTGTGGAAGAAGTAAATAAGGAAAAGTTATTTACCTGTTCCCATAATACAAGAACTAGGGGTCATCAAATGAAGTCAGTAGGTAACAAGTTTAAAACAAAAGGAAGTATTTCTTCACACAATGCACAACCTGTGGAACTCCTTGCCAGATGATGTTGTGAAGACCAGGACCAGGGTTCAAAAAAGAACTAGATACATTCATGGAGGATAGGTCCATCAATAGCTATTAGCTAGGATGGACAGGGATGGTGACCTGAGAGGTTTGTCAGAAGCTGGGAATGGGCAACTGAAAGGGGTGGATCACCTGATTATCTATTCTGCTCATTCCCTCTGGGGCACCTAGTATTGGCTGCTGTCAGAAAACAATACTGGGCTAGATGGACTGACTCAATATGGCTGTTTTTATGTTCTTTTCTGAGCCCCTCTCTACTGCTTCGGGGTAAACCCACAAGAGGCTTAGTTTGTTTCTGCTCTGGAGGAGCATCTTGTGTGATGGCTTTTCTTGTCCACTGTCAGAAGACAGGATGCGGGACTAGATGAGCCATTGTTCTGACTCAGTATTGCCATAAAGAATGGAGTTCACACTATGAACTTCTTGCACAGAAACAACTGTAAGTGCCTGGGCAGCTGAGCTATCCACTTGTGAACAATTACATAAAAGTTCTATGCTGCTTTTAGCACATTTATTAAGGCCCTGGATTATCTGATATTTGATGAACTCATAGAGACTTTATCTGAGTCCTCTTAACAGATTCTCTGCTGTATTCTGCAAAGTGAAATGTGCCAGAATACCCCAGGACCTCTGCTTGTCTGATCGGAGGAAAATTCCTTTGTGGCCCCAAATATGGCAATCAATAATCCAGCGTATATGCGAGAGATCGAATAGCCAGATACCTGGGAAAAAATTCTCTGTAGAAGCAGAGTCTCCCGTCTAGTGTCCTATCTCCAGCTGTTGGAAATACTTTCTAACATTTGTTGCAGATGGGCAATATGCCATTGTAGGTGACCTCCTCATAGCATCTGCTCTATGATTTCTAAGCTCAGTCAGAACTGGGACACACCATTCTGTCTTTGAACGTAAGCAGAACAGTAGTACCTACATAAATGGACACCTGTTTGCTTAATGTTGTTGTCATCTTTTAAATGAAGTTTGGTTCCATCAAAGAGACATTCACTCTACAAAACTACATTGTCTTTACCTGACCTATAGGCTCAAACCTGACAACTAAGTTTGGTTTATTGCAGCCTTAGCGTTAATATTAATTGGGAACTTTTAAAAATCAAAGTTACCCATGGCTCCTCTGGTGGTGCTTGGTTGTGTGCATAGCCCGGCAACAATTGTTTTCACATTGGTGTCAGTTGAACAGAAGGTACCAGCTATGTGAGGCAGTATTTCTCCTGACCTTTTCGGGGACAGCAATGGCTGACAATGAGCCATTTCTGCTGCTTGCGAAAGCAAGGACTGGACTGGACTGGACTGGACAGGAGTTGCTTAAAGCAGGGACTTGCCTGTTGTACTGTCAAGCGTCTTTCCAAAGAGGAAGATGGTGATGGCCATCACAGCTGGCAAAGTCAGGATCATCAAGAGCACCGCCCACCAGTGTCTCTGAGGGATGAAACCAGAGCAGAATCCTATCGCACCTGGCACCCCAGAAAGCGCCAACGAGCTCTGAAAACCAAGCCCTGAGGGTATATCCCCCATATTCATTTCCACAGTGACATGCTTTTACCCAAGTTATTCCCAGGCAATTCTTCACTCTTGTGCGGGAGGATGTTACCACCTTTTAATGGGTGTGGGACCGAGGAGATGCACATGACTTGCGCAAGATGGCATGTCAGCCAGCAATAGGAATCTCAGATCTCAAGCCCCTTGTATTCACCACTCACTCCCCCAGACTTGTAGATTCACAGACCTAGGCCTGACTCTCACTGAAAATCTGGGCCTTATTCTCTCTGGGAGTAGGGGGAAGAGACCAGGAAAAACAAAACTCTCAGGCAGCTGCTTACCTTCATCCAGGTTGATACGTCTTCCAGCTCAGTGAAACCCAAGATGGAGTTCTTCACCCTGGCTATCGGTCCATCTTCATCCAGAAGCCGACAGACGTGAAACTTATCGCAGTAGCCCCTCTTGTCCTTGCAGGGAGTGCCTGAGGTCAGTGGGATCAGCATGCCATTGAAATAATGCTCCATCAGTGCAGAGGATGTACTGGCACATGTGTCCGGCTGGCCTAGAGCGGTGATTTGAAAGGTACAGCTTTAGGGTTTAGCATGGATACAAGGGCCATTCTGCCATACACCAGTGCACCAGAGCTGTCCATGCTGTATGTAAATAGATCACTGAGCACCCTGGAGAACCTAGGATGTGGATACATTGGAGAGGGTCCAGCGGAGGCACCAAAATGACTTGGGGGCTGGAGCACATGACTTACGAGGAGAGACTGAGGGATTTAGGCTGCAGAAGAGAAGAGTGAGGGGGGATTTGATAGCAACCTTCAACTATCTGAAGGGAGGTTCCAGAGAAGATGGAGCCAGGCTGTTCTCAGTAGTGACAGATGGCAGAACAAGGAAGGAGCAATTGTCTCAAGTTACAGTGGGGGAGGTCTAAGTTGGATATTAGGAAAAACTATTTCACCAGGATGGTGATGAAGCACTGGGATGGGTTCCCTAGGGAGGTGGTGGAATCTCCATCCCTAGATGTTTTTAAGTCCCGGCTTGACCAAGCCCTGGCTGGGATGATTTAATTGGGCTTGGTCCTGCTTTGGGCAGGGGGCTGGACTTGATGACTCCTGAGGTCTCTTCCAGCCCTGGGGTTCTATGATTCTAACCGTAATCCTATTAAAAAAGGAAGCTTTATGGTTTCTATTTTTTTTAACCTCTTGGGCCATGCTACGGCCAGCAAAGGTCACTGGGTCAGGGCATCCTCAAAGACATTCCCCTGAGCTGCTGGCTTTTACAGTGCATTGGTGGCGTAGAGGTGAACACTTCACCCCCAGCCCTTGTCCTTCCCCGGCCCCAGGTGGCTGCTCCTTTCCCTTGGAAAAAGCCACACCAGGGCTCTTGGGGAGGCCAGACAGAATCACGTACCTGGCTGCTGGCAGCAGAGATGACATTTTGTCCGCAGAGACGTGCTGAGGCAGTCGCACTGCTCCAAGCCGTGCTTGACACAGAGTGATCCGAGGCAGAGCTATGTATCATACAAGGAAAGGAATAAGTGATGGGATTTCTGCAGTGGGGGGAGGTTACCAGCGTGAGGGATTTGTCCAGAGCAGAGGGAGCAAGACCAACAGGTATTTGTCAAATTGGAGCTTTTCATGCAAATATTGGTTCCATTTAATGAGGGGGGGAAAACAGATATTTCCCCCAGTCCAGTCCAATTAGATCTAATTTCTAGTGGAAGATGCTGGTTGCTTGGATTCCTCTGTTCATCACAGAACAAGCAAGGTCTCCCCAGCTGCAGAGCAATCCATGAGATATTTATATAGAACAGGTATTTGTCAAATTGGAGCTTTTCATGCAAATATTGGTTCCATTTAATGAGGGGGGGAAAACAGATATTTCCCCCAGTCCAGTCCAATTAGATCTAATTTCTAGTGGAAGATGCTGGTTGCTTGGATTCCTCTGTTCATCACAGAACAAGCAAGGTCTCCCCAGCTGCAGAGCAATCCATGAGATATTTATATAGGAATGGTTGGCCAGAATGAGACATGGGGTGCATTTAGCCCAGCGGCTTTTCTATAGCAGGGACCAGAGCTAGCTACGTCAGAGGAAGGTGCACGAAACCCAGCAGCAAGCACTTTGGCAAAACCTGCTCAACGGAAATGTTGGTTCCTCACTCTCAGTAATTAGAAGGTTGATTTATGTCCTTATGCAGGATGGTTTAATTCCCACCCAAGGTCCAGTAGCTCTGGAAATTCCTGCTATTTAAAATTTCAGTCCCTTTGGGACTGTTGATGAACTCAGCCTCAGGAATCTCTTGTGGCAGAAGGTTCCGCAGACTAATTGAGCCTTACA